GTCTCCTCTCCTTCCTCCCCAGGGCTTTTCAGCATCGTTCCATGGTGGGCAGTGGCCGTGTCCCTGGGGCTGGCACTGGCCATCTCAGTAGCCCTCGTTGTCACTTGCTACCGGCGGAGGAAGAGAGGAAAGGACCCCCCGGGAGGTTTGTCCCCGGGGTCGGTGCGGTAGCTCGTGGGACGGGGAGCCGTGGGGTTTTGGCTGTGCAGCCCCTGCCCTCCTCCTGACCGCTGTCACACTCCTGACGTTCCCCGTGCTGGCCCTGGGGTTCTCCCTCCTCCGGGGGCTGATGCAGGATAAGCCACCGGGCACTGTCACCCCCCTGCCAGGCGCTGCACAGGGCACGAAGTCTTTGCCTGTCCCTGCTGATGCGGGGTGGTCCAGGTTGATGAGCTGGATGAAGCGTCCCAAGCATCAGTGCCCAAACCTGGAGGCCTCGTCCCATGGGGTCTAGAGGACGGTTTGGGTTTGGATATTCATTTTATTCTGGGCTGGAGCGTCCCTCCCCAGCCCCTGCCAGGTGCCACCGAAGTCAAACCTCCCCATTGCCAAGGGACCTCTTTCTCCCTCTGCTTTGCTTTGCCTGAGGGCTGAACCCCCCTGGGCCTGGGGGCTCTAACACGTCACCCGTCTGATGCTGACCCTTCAAACTCCCCCAGGACACGTCGAGCAGACGCTGACTGACTACAGGGAGGTGGGCAAAGCCCGAACCAGCCGAGACCCCGTGAGTGCCGGGGGTGTCCCTGGGCATCCCCTCCCTGTGCTGCCTGGAGGGACGGGACCTCTCTTTGGAAATGTCTGTCACCCCGGGTTGCATCCTTTAACCAGCCTGGGGTTGCTTTCTCCCCCAGAATGGGACCAGTGAGGCCACCGTGCAAGGAAACACCATCTACGCCGTCATCTGCACCAAACCGCTGGTAGGATCAGTCCTGTGCCGGCGGTGGGGACTGGAGCTGCCCCGTGGGCTTGGCTGGGCAGCCCCTGAGCTGGATGCATCCATGGCAGCCGCCAAGACCGCTCCTTTTGCCCAAAATTTGTTTTTCTTTGCGCATCTCAAGCGTTTTTCCCTGGCAGGGACCCAGCCACCCTCAGGAGCCTGAAAGCTGCACCATCTACTCCACGGTTCAGCCCACCAGGAAGGTGAGGTTGCCCCACCGTGACCGCGGCCCCTCTGCAGTGGCACAGAAACCCAGGTCCCCTCGGTTCATCAACCGGGTGCTGGGTTCACCGTCCCGCTCGTGCATTGCCTAACGGCAGGTTCTCGCTTTGCTCCACAGTCTCCCTCTCTCAGGAGAAAGAGGCTGGACCCAGCTTTGGTTTCCACTGCCTACGTAGAGGTAACGGGCACTGGGACCGGTGGGGAGATGAACCCTGGGGATCTCCAAAGCTCATCAGCTTTTTGGGGCCACGGTGTGCTAAGCCCCACTCATTTCCTTGCAGCCTACGGGGGGTTCTAGACGCTGGTGCCCACCGTTGCAGACCTTGCCCCCGGCTCCTGCCGGCCACCACCTCTCCTAGTGCCACGGTTGCCTTGGCAAGGCTTTTCCTTCCCTATGGGCATCTTCTGGAGCACCCAGAGACATCCAGCACCCACCAGCACCCCAGCCGGCAAAGCCGGGGGCTTGCTCGGGATGGAAACACTCAGACATGGGTTTTTGCAAGGATGCAAACCCCAGCTGCGCCTTGGAGGCTTTCCTGCGAGGGAAGGAGGAAAGACTCGGTGATGGAAACCTGTCTTCGGAGGAGATGGATGTGGAATTGGACAGGCGGGGTCATGGGGGAAGACGATTCGTGTGATGTGCGTGTGTTTAGTGCCAGCCTGGGAGCTTGTGGGTTTTTTTTTAGGTCTTGACAGGTTCGATACACCTCAGGAATTTATTTTTAGGCGTGAATGTAAGCTGAACTGCATGAGGCAATTGTGGTGCTTGTTTCATTAGCTTAATTGGCTATTTATAGCCTGAAATGTACCTTGGGCATGGGGAGGGAGTGGGAATTGCCTTGTTTGTGGCTTGGGAACCTCTGAAGCGAATGGGGTCTCACGCGGAGATGCACTTTGCAAAGTTTCAGCCCTGTGTTGGGTAGGGGAGAGGTGGCCATGGGCATTGGCTTCGGGCAGGACGGTCCCTGCACCGGCTGGGCTGGGCACGGCCCCGGGTGCCCCACGGCGAGCTGAGACCAGAGACGCTGCCGCGTCCCTTCCCACCTAAGTTATCCCATGCTCCTACAGCATGAGTGGCCCCGGGAGAAGGAGGTGGAGAAAGAGGGGCTCCGGCTTCAAAGATCTTCCCAAAGGCAAGATCAAGGGCTTTTCTTTGGGATTAAAATGAAACGTGGCACTTTGATGGCAGCATGGGGAGCGGCGGCGGCGGCTCCCATCCGAGCCCCCGGATC